TTCGGAGGGAGTGTTATAATTACATTATTACATTCTGAACATCGGTCTAGCTCTGGAATTTCTTTATCTCCAAGGATATCGTCTTCGAGATTTTTCAAGATATTATAAGCAAGCTTCTTATGATTATCAAGAGATAAGTTGTCAGATTTCGGAGTTTTGCCTATTTTTCTCAATGTCTTGCTTTGTTTCGAAGCCGACGTATTTTATTTCTCACTTAGATTCGAAAAAGATATTGACCTGTTTTTATATCACTTGTAAATTTCGCAGGAGAAAGCAATACCCGGATTTTCACTAGCAATTACGCACTATATTTCGTCATTCATTAATCCCTTGCTAATCAATAAAAATGACGAAGGACTAGCATACGCATCCCCAAATCCCATATGCGAAATGATGATTGTCAAAAAATATCCATATTCGAAGATTGTTTTATTGATAGTATTCCCTTCAATCGGATGATATGATGTGAAAAAAAAATTATTAGTCGAAAGTGATGCGCATGGTATATGTGTGATTCGCACGTCGCACAGCCCCTATTCCTTCGGCAAGAATTTTACCGATATCGTACTGTGCATTTTATCGTAGTTTATTCGATTTTATATAGCGAAAACCGTCTTATACACGCAAAAATTAATGTCTCATTCCCAATTCACTAATGCTTTATTTTATGAAGTAAAACGCTGTCAAAGCAACTAATCCATAATAAAATTTGTAAAAAATCACTGTTTCATGATGTGAATGCAAATAAGAATCTAATTAATCATTTTTGTATGTGAATAAAATATTCATCGGGTTCTCACTAAATAAGTAAAAATCCAAAATATATCATTGATTACTTAACTCCTTAACTTTTGAAGCTGATAAACCTGTAATATATGAAATATCTTGGTGGGAATAACCTTTTTTCACAAGCTTACATGCAATTTCTTCTTTCCCTTTCTCCTTACCTTTCACCATACCTTCCTCCATACCTTCCTCCCTACCTTCCTCCCTACCTTCCTCTCTACCTTCCTCCCTACCTTCCACTCTACCTTTCACTCTACCTTTCACTCTACCTTCCTCCCTACCTTCCTCTCTACCTTCGTTTTTAGCAGTTCTAATTGCATCTTCATCATCTAAAATTGCCATCATGGTTTTTTCATAGATTTCAATTTCCGCCGGGCTCCAACGATGTCTTTCAAGAACTTCATAAGCTTCTTGAATCTCAATAGGCGCTTCTTTTGGAGGTTCATTTTCATCAGAGGCTTCCTTTAATAAATGTATCCAATAGTCCTCGGGAGTTTTGAGTTGTTCACTGCATTTACTGAATTTTGGAAGTTCAACAAATACATACGAAA